CACCTTCTTTGGTCTGGGCACTCGGGCAGTATCACAGCCAACACACAAATATGATGAAATGTCGATATTTATGGAAAATACCTTTCTTGCTTCGATTAACAATCAAACGATTCACATTATCATTATTATTACTATTATTAACTACGTCATTATTCACCCTCTTTTATTCCCATTCTGTTTATACTTATTTTTCGACTTATACAACAGCTCGCCTATGATGGAAACTCGGTTCTATCTAAACGTCCTCAAGTCACTGCCTGGTTGAAAACTGTATGCTACCACAAAATGCGAATACAGAAGCAGTTTTTCCGAAACAACGTGCACCATTCAAACTGGCTGCCTTCAACGTTCGCACACTTATGCAGGTCGGACAACATATGGGGTTGGTTATGTCTTTGGAAAGTCTTAATATCGACGTTTGTCGTCTATCCGAGACCCGTATTCAAGATTCTGGTGAAGTACTACAAATTCGCTCTCCATCTGTCGCTTCAAAAGGCTTGCTTTTGTGCGTTTATCAAAGGACTCTGTGGGATCTTTGTCTGGTCTTGCTGGCGTTGGTGTCGCAATAAGTGCTAGACCTGAGGCAGCACTAATCGATTGGATCCCCCATTAACAGTCAGTTTTGTGCTGTTAGATTAGAGAGTTCCATCAAAGTGAGAAATCGGCGTGAGAAACGATGTCTTTTCGTCATCTCCGCTCATGCCTCGACAGATTGCAGCCCGGATACAACCAAGGATGAATTCTACCACCAGTTAACTGTTCTTCTCCAGAAAGTGTGTTCGACAGATATTGCAGTACTAGCCGGAGAACTCAATGCTCAGGTCGGGCGTCTAGGCACAGAAGAGAATCGTTTAGGTGGCCGGTGAGGACATGTTGGTCGCAGGACAGATAACGAGGACCGTCTACTGCAACTGAGCACAGACCATAACCTGTTTCTGGCTAGCACTAACTTTCGGCACAGTCATTGCCGATGCGCCACCTGGCGTCCCCCTTCTGCATCTCAAGCCTGAACTCAGATTGATCACATCGCGATCAGCTACCACTGGCGTGGTTGTGTACAAGGCTGCCACTCCTTTTGGAGTACCTATCTGGACTCTGACCATGCCCTGGTCTGCGCCAATCTTACCTTACTATTCAGTGGCCAACGAAGTGACCACCACCAAAGGATTGATGTCAGCAAATTGGTTGCAAGTTCTGTTGCAAGTAAGTATCGAACCGAGCTAGCTTCTAGGCTAGCTACAATTCCACCGAAAAGTATAGATGAGCATTGGTTGCAATTGCATGACGCTATGAAAATGGCGAGTAAAGCCGCTTGCGGCTTCGCGAAACGTCCCACTTATAAGCACTGGATTCCTTCAGGCTCCTTACAACTCATCGAAGCCCGTCGGTCCACTCCGAGTGACTGTGAGTTTGACCACAAACGAAGGATTTTACGTAAGGAAATTGGGCAAAGCTTGCGTAAGGAACGAGAAGCCTGGTGGTCGGAGCGTGCTAATGAGCTGGAAGCAGCAGCTGCATCTGGTAACTACCGGAAGCTCTTCCAACTCATCCGAGCCACTGGCAGCAAGAAGTCTGGTGTGAGCGAAACAATCTGTGAGGAGGACGGGATGCCAATCACTAACATTCATCGACTTCTTGGACGATGGTCAGAATTCTTCGAAGGGCAGTTCAACTGACATGCTGCTACGGCAAAATCGATCAGACTGGCCTGCCCTTCATGGCCGGTGACGACTGATCCATCAAATGAGGTGGAAGTCCGCAACTCTTGAAGCGTTACAAATCACCTGGCCCAGATGACTTACCTCCGGCTCTTTTTAAAGATGGTGGTGACTTTCTAGTTAAGGAACTGATAACGTTGTTTACAAAGGTCTGGGAGCTAGAGAGGGTACCAACGTCATGGAATGAGTCGATAGTTGTCCCTATCTTTTAAAATGGTTCACGTCGTTCCTGTAAAAACTATCGGCAGATAAATCTACTTCCGATTGCGTCCAAGCTATTGACTTCCGTCATACTTCATAGGTTGTCCAAAACCCGAGAAAGATTGGCTCGCGAGGAGCAGGCTGGTTTTTGTTCTGGTGGACGATGTATTGATCTGTGGTTTTTGAATAAACTGATGGTTCCTTTCTACTTGTTGAATGCTTGATTTCGAATTTCAAATACAGTACATTCGTTCGTGCTTGTTTAGTACTTCTTGATTCATTTGAGTTATTTCTGGGATTCTTAGATTATACTGTAATTCAAATACTCCTAATCATCATATGATCATATCTTCACCCTCCCTCAAATGTTAGAAAACCTCCATACTTATCACAAGCCAACAATCGTAGTGTTTCTTGACATCAGGACTGTCTTCGATTGGTTGGACAGGACTGTTCTCTGGGATTGTCTGTTGAAGAAGGGTGTGCCTGAGAAGTTTATTAACATCCTAAAGTCCCTATATACAAACACCTCAGGTAGAGTGAAGGCTTACAACCACCTTTCTCCATTGTTCCATTCGAGCAGTGGAGTTAGGCAGGGTTGCCCAATCTCACCATTCCTCTTCAACTTTGCCATCGATGACATTCTGGAAACAGCTCTGATGGATGTAAGTAATGGTGGTGCGGATCTGTTGCCTGGAGAAAGACTTTTCGACCTTGAGTAAGCGGATGACATTGTCTTACTGTGCGATAATGCCCAAGCCATGCAATCCGCACTTAATCAGTTGGCAATCAATGTCCGTAGGTATGGTATGTGCTTTACACCTTCGAAGTGCAAAGTACTTCTACAAGGCTGGAAGGATTCCAATCCTGTACTCACCCTGGATAGTGAGCAGATAGAAATAGTCGAGAAGTTCGTGTAACTAGGTAGCTGCATAAGTGCTGGTGGTGGCGTGAGTGATGAGATCAATGCACGTATAGTGAAAGCCAGAGCGACTTATGCCAATCTGGGTCATCTTTGGCGCCTTCGTGATGTTAGTCTGGCTGTAAAAGGTCGGACCTACAACGCTTCGATGAGAGCAGTTTTGCTCTATGCTTGTGAAACCTGCCCTCCGAGTTGAGAATGTTTGACGACTCTCTGTGTTCGATCATGGTTGTCTCCGAAGGATTGCTGACATCCAGTGGCAACAACATGTTAGTAATGCAGAGGTTCGGCATCGTGTGTTCGGTCACAGAGATGATAATCCAATTGGTGTCACCATCTTGAAACACCGACTTCGTCTCAGAGAATTCCACGTCGTGCATTATTTGCCGACTCTGGGACTGGTTGAAAGAAGCGGAGAGGTGGTCAATATATGACATGGTGTCGTGGTATGAAAGAAAGCTGCAAAGAACTGGCTTGTGTTGGTCCTTCACGACTCCCAGGCTGCGGTCTGAGAGATGGTGCGACACAGAGACTAGAGACGTTATCAAATATGGCTCAGAATAGAGGCCAGTGGCGATCGTGCTGTAACCTTCTTTTACTTTCTTCATAAAAAATGGTTGTATCTTCCTTAACTGAGGGAATTCCTCTGTTCGTACCTTTCCGTTTCCATCATTATTATTACTACACTAATATAAGGTTGTTATTGTTTTTTTTCTTATACGCACCTTACCTTCTTTTTTATCTCTCCTCATTCTCATTATTTTGTGTGGCGCATATATATTTGGTGCCCATTTGTACCCCCGACCGTTGTTGCTACCTTGACATGTTGGTCGGGCTTGCTTATCGTGATGAAGCAACCGAGCTATACTGGCTGGAACAACCGTTCCTCAAGGTCCTACCATGTCAGTTGAAGAGCGGTAAGACTAAAAGCAACAAACCCAAGGTCCGAAGGCGAAGTCGTACTGCTGACTGTACAGAGGTGTGACGGCAGTAAGGTGTTTCCTTCAGACAACCAGCATAACAGCGGTGCTGTCTTCCAACAACAAGAAGAAGTGGGTTAGAAAAGTTCGACCTTAAAAATGCACACCTCGCCTTATCCCACGGATATCCGTCTCCGGCGGTAAGGTCTCAACAAGTACAGAGCTAACACAAAAATTGCCCATATAAAGGTCGTGTGTGACCGACCTCAAGCAGTTGTCCCTTGGGCACTGCGGTCACGCTCCCAGGTCACTAAGACCACTTCTAATCCAATTTCCTTTTCAGGTACCTCCAGAAAAACCCTTCCTCGGTGTGGGCAACCGGGGAGTGATAACCGCCTTCATACCTCTAACAGCACCGAAGACCACTGTATTCATAATCAACCTTCCTCTTCAATTCCTATTATTCCTCCTACATCGACTTCAAACTCTAAACTTCCTCTTTCGGCTTCCTCCTCAAGTGTCACCATAGCCAACGATTCTAGTGCGCAAAATACTGTCCCAGGTCTACTGAAACCTCGCTCCACACTACACATTGGAGCCTTCAACGTACGAACCCGATGTCAAATTTACGTGTTCAAATAAATAAATAAAATTACATTTGCCTCTTTACCTCTATTATCCCTCACGCAACATGGCTCGCTGACCATTATTCATTAACCAACTATGTCCTAGATTCTCCTCTATAATTGTCGCAAAGCGCTATCCATTCTCTTGTTGTCTGCCTCCAGTTCACGGCGCACTGTGTCGTTGGTCTGCGCCTTTTCATCTTCCTTCACGATTTCATATTAAAGCTTGCTTTCTGATTCAGTTTGATGACTTCGGCAATGTGTTCTACACACCTCTAAAGTCTTTTCCTAATTACCTCCTCAGATCGAGGCTAGTCCGTTCTCTACCACAACAGGTAGTTACTGTTCATACCCGGTCAACCGATATGATGCATCTTGTGTAGATAACTGTTTGTAAAAATCTGAAAGATTTTCATGATGGTTGTAGTAGTTCTACAAGTTTTAGCCCCACACAACAGAACTGTCTTTACGTCTGTATTGGAAACTCTGACTTTGCTGTTAGCTGACAGTCCTCTTCATTTTCAAAATTGAATCGGAAGTTGGAATCCTGTATTCGCTTTGCCCTAATCACCATTGATAGGTTCCACAAATGAATCGAAATAATCTAGAAAAAGCTTGGAAAATATACTCTATTTGAGAAAGAATTCAGTATCGTCATCACACTTAAGCTTGTACACAATTCCCGCACTGAATATAGATAATAATAATAAGGGGATAATATTGTACTCTGACTAGAACAAATTGAAACAGTAAATTACATCACTTTTTTATAAATAAAAATCTGTGTTGGTCAAAAAAAGTAAGCTGTGAAATCACGACACATGTTTGTTTTTTAAATATTACCAGGAAAGAAAAACATAATCACAATCTTGTATTTCAAAGAATTAGTACATGAACATATATAACCTGAGGCGTAAAGTGAGTTTACTCTATACACAGAAATAGGAAATAAATTAAGAAATATTACACGACGATTTTGAAGGGGTATTATGACGTGTTGTTCTAGATGGTTGTGAATGAGATGTTCGACTGGAAAGTGATTCAGATAATGCTAAAGCCAGTTGTAAATCTTCTTCTTCCTGAAGTTCACGGGAATTTACACTATATGGCAGTGAAGTAGCAACAGGTGATGATAGGTGAATCGTGTTTGTTGGCGATACATTCTACAAATTATCAGAAAGAGACCATTTCGGAAGGATAATGTGACAAGAACACAATTGAAATTCGCATTGTGAAAATTTAAAGGCATTAAATAGCAACCAACTGATCATTTTCACTTGCAGTAAGACCAATCAACTGTATTAAAAAACTGACTTGAGAAGGACTGGCTAGTCACTCTTCACGCTTCATCTGAAATATTCCAATCTAACAGTCTAGGAAGTTTGCTGTTTGGTAACATAACATTATAAAATGAGTAGTTTCTTTGTCAAACTTATTTAATTTTTCTCATGAAAGAAAGGGTGGAGATTTTAAGTTACCATTACGAAAATACTGTTCATTTGATCACATAATCACTGAGTCTTTCACAATTGATGACAAGATTCTGTTTGCATAGAATTGCAAGCTAGGCTTCGACGGGACACCAGGTGATTTGATATACATCATACAATCAATGTGGAAGCAGCTCAATCATTAGTTTCCATATAAATTAAAGTAATAAACTTAAGTGACTACCTCATTAGTTGTCGACAGCCTTTCTAAGCTACCAAACATTACCTAATCAAAAAATCTCAATGATCCAACAGAGATGCATGTGCATAGTTAGGTGAATGTTGGTTGTGGAGTGATTGATGAAATCAGTCTACATATAGTGGAAGTTAGAGAGATTAATGTCGGCCTGATTTTTGTTTCAGAAGAATCGTTTACATCTAGCGGCGACAATGTTAGCAATGCCTATGTTATTTGGTCTCACAATATTTAAGCATCAGTTTCGGTAGCTCAGTCATCCTTTACAAATTCTACCCAAGCGGCTTAGATATCGCACATTACTTCTCGACGGTAGGATTGGGTAAAGAACAAACAAAGAAACGGTCAGTTTACGAAATAGCACTGTGGAATGGAAGATAACTTACAGAGATGGAGTCTATTGGTTCATCACGACTCACAGGTTGGGGCACTGGAAATTGTGGAATACAGTGACTCGAAACGTTATCGCATACGACTCGGAATAAAGACCAGTGGCGACCCTATTTTAATCTTCTGTAACAATCTTCATACAAGTGACACAGAACCCCTTCACTGAGAGTTTATCTTGGTTTGATTTTCAACTGAGCTGGATTTCTGATTACGTACTGTTGATGTTCACTTATTTATTGACTGTACTATTCTTCTCTTTATTTCTTCACAACATGGTGACTTTATTTGTGTGCCGTACTTTCGGTGCCCAATTGTACCAGGATTTATCTGTCTATATAAATAAGAGGCTACGGCCGAATATGTTTGTAGTACAGATTCCTACATCCCAATCAGCCAGTCACCTACAACCTAGGACCAGGCACATACGTGCACCGGCCCAAGTTGCCACACTGACTCATTAGCACAACAAGATTAAAACCGGATTCATAGAAGTAGTTAATTCAATGGTGGTAATATATAAAATAAAGATTCTATATAAAGATATAGTACATGAAGAAAGAATTAGTTCGTAAAAAGAAAGATATAAAGCAATTTTGATCTCATAGTTTAAGGGAAGACAGAGTGTATACACCTAGGCCATTGTGACCGATTCTGAGCCATGTCATACCTTTAACGGCACTCAAGACCACATCCCAATCTGTCAGGTATGATATGAAACAATTCCTTTCTTATAATATACTCCATTCCAATCATTTGTTTATCGACTAGATTATGTTTGTAGGCAAAATAATCAAACTTTCACATGTGGTACTTTAATGCAAAAAGAAGAAGGCTGATTTATAAATTATACTTATAGTTAAAATGACAAATAAGATTACCCTTTCCAACCTTCACATACATATATGCAAACAGAACAAAAAAATTCACCTTCGAAGTCGAATTTGTATTGAAATTGCTAAAGATAGCTCTATAAAGAGCTGCTGCACCAGAAGTTGACAACTTTCTAGAATTATTCAGATTTTGTTGAAATCCCTTACAATCATGATCTAATTCATTACGATGCGAAACACAGAAATTTAATTTGCATCTATCACAAACAAAAGGTATAAGTTCTTTCTTTTTACATCGTGGGACACAGCAAGCGTTTGTGAATAACTACAAACAAAGAGAACAAAATTATGTAATCTCAACTGAGAACAAAACACAAATATACACACATTTATGTCCGGACATTCAGCGTACTCATATTAATTGTTGCTCTGGTTGTCAGAAAGGCATCGGCCTCGTGATTTTCGGAGAACCTCAGCTTTCACCATGAGGCATTATAACTTTTTAAAATGATCGTTCAACTCTCAGGACAGATTTTAAGTAGTTAAAATGACTTTTTCAGTTAGCATTTTTACAGGACGGGGTCGCTATCTTTATGCCTAGATTTTCCGGAAGTAACCCTACTGGGGCTTTGGACAGAGTTGACCACTAAACCACTGCTCCAATAATCAATCCAATCAAAAATTCAAACTGAATTATGGTTGTAATTTTTTTATATTTATTACTTATAGGAATTGATTACATTCACCTGACTCCTGACACGATTTTGTCACTTTGACTTCAATGAATTTCAAGAATGAGACAACTGTATATTGAATGGCCGGTTTGTTTATTTGAAAACATCTTTGTTTCTGTAACTAGTGTCATCTAGTGGTTCCTTTTATCAGTCACAGTTGTCTAATTTGTTTGCGAAAAATAGATTCTGTGTTCAACAAAACTTTTTGAAGAAACTTACAGTATAATCATTTTTCTAGCTTAAATGTCTTTAAGACTAATACCGAAGTAAGTAGTGTTTATGCGTTAATGATTTACTTTTACAACTTATTACTCTGTTTCGTGTCTATTCTCCCTGCATTTCCAAGCAAAATATGCCACTTAGTATGTGAATTTCCACTAATTAAATCAGTATGACTTGGATACAAGAAAGTTATTTAAACCATTTGTCAACAGGCTTGATAACTTTCTTCATCTATAAAGATTCATTTGAGGTAACTGAACTGTTTACATTCACTAATTATTTTACTATCATGTCAGAGATTCAGAAAAAGGGGTCTTGTTTCCGACAGTTTGTATTTTCAAGAGGATTGGATAAAATTCTGTTATGTATGCTAGTGAAATTGATCAAAGTTTGTAAGGATGGTTAACAACACTTAATCTCTAATCATAGATGACAACAATAATATCACTATAGATAATTCTCGGTAAGTATAATTTCTAAAACTGAGACTTTTTAGGAATTTAAACAACCAGATGAATGTCAAGAAAAGTAAGACTACTACATGTTATGAAAATGAGCGAAACAGATTAAGATTAATGATAAGAAACAAACAAATGGGAGCGTAACTAAATGTCTGACTTATCGGTGCATAGTTTACCGGACTCATCCTGTAAAGAAGAGAACCTACGGTATAATCTCCGTTGACAATGATCTCGAGTTATTCCCAACATTTTAAGCCACTGATTTCATAGTTCCTGCAACCTTAGTATGAACGTAACAGCGGAAACTAGCCTGGGGAAACTACTCTTCATCTCACTCCAGACATTATGAACAGATTATGGCTTTGCATCGTCCAAACAACAATTAAATTAGCTGAAGCGGTGTGGGTAACATGTGAGAAAGCTATCATGTCTTTCGAGATAATTTTCTATGGTCAATAGCATTTTATGCTGTGTCTGCAACGCATATTGATGGGTCTTACAGTGTATTGAAATTTTCACTACCCAATAACAAAGCAGACAGTGACGAGTAATTGCATGACAAAATCTCATAGACGTTACACAAAACAACAGTTAGATAAAAGTCTCAACCCATCATTAGCCAGTCTATATCGTCACATACTGTTATGGCTTCTAATACATAAAGGTTGATCTTTCCTTCAATCGAACAGTCTTCAATATTTAGAATACCATAGTGTTTGAAGTGAGAAGTGAGAATAACATTTCGAATGTTAATCAAGTAGCTAAAAAATTGGTTATATATGAAACACCCGGTGGTGATATTTCCCAGAATTCACTAATTTTCAGGAAGTCAACTGTGATTCAAGATTTCACACTAAAATCAACTCAATTAGTACCACGAATGTAAATGTAATGACCGTGGAGTATTATTTCATAACAATGACACACACAACTGACCAATATTATTACATACGACTCTAACAGACCGGAATTTTGCCAACAGAAATTGAATTTAAATGCCATAAACTCTACCACACTAGTTTATAGGCTACGGTAGGTAACCCTTTAAAAACTCTCTTACAATAGAAACTATTACGCTATGGAAATTCCTGCAAAGGTAGAAATAATAATTCGGTGATTATTAGTCAAAATTCCCGATCGAAGCTGCTACCTTGACGCGGTGGTCGGGCTTGCCTATCGTGATGACCCAACCGAGCTATATTGGCTGAAACATATGTTCCTGCAGGTTCTACCATGCCAGGCAGGTCGATTGGCGAACGGTAAGACTAAAAGCAGCAACTCAAGGTCTGAGGGCGAAGTCGTACTGCTGACTGTAGAGAGGTGTGACAGCAGTAAGGTGTTTCCCTCGGACAACCAGCATGACAGCGATGCTGCCTTCCCACAAGGAGGGGTGGGGTTAGAAAAGGTCGACCCTAAAAATGCACACCTCACCTTACCTCACGGATTTCCGTCTCCGGCGGTAAGGCCCCTTGAAGAACGGAGCTAACACGTCAAAAACCTTCCACAAAAAGGCCGTGCGCGACCGGCCTCAAGCAGTTGTCCCTCGGGCTCTGAGGTCACGCTCCCAGGTCGTCAAGACCAACACTAATCCAATTTCCTTTTCAGGTTCATCAAGAAATACCCTTCCACGGTGTGGGCAGCCGGGAAGTGACATCAGCCCTCATACCCGTAACAGCACAAGAGACCAAGGTGGTCACATTCAAATCCTTCCTACACCTCCTAATACCTCTCTTATCCTCCCGACTAATGCTCCTCAAGTCTCTTTATCACCTCGCACCGCTAGGGCAAACGATTCGAGTACGTGGAACGCCATTTCTGGTCTCCTGAAACCACGCTCTAAACTACACGTAGGAGCTTTTAACGTACGAACACTGTGCCAAATAGGACAGCAGGCTTCCTTAGCTAGGACTTTAGAATCTCGCGCCATCGATGTGTGCTGCGTCTCCGAAACGCGCATACAAGATCCGAGTAGCGTCATTCATTTGACCTCACCATGCCAAAATAAAGAACCGACTCGATTTACGCTTCGTGTATCTGGAAGCCCTGATTCTGCTTCCCGTGGCCTCGCCGGCGTAGGTATAGCATTGAGTCCTAGGGCAGAACTAGCTCTCTTAGAGTGGATCCCAGTAAACAGTCGTTTGTGCGCTGTCCGACTGAACGGAACAGTAAGAATCCGGAAAGATAGGGACACTCGTCGTTGCCTCTTCGTCGTCTCTGCCTATTCTCCCACTGACTGCAGCTCAGATGATGTAAAAGATGAGTTTTACAGAAAGCTTTCGGACCTTCTCCGAAAAGCTAAGCGCTCGGATGTAGTAATAGTGGCCGGTGACTTTAATACTCAAGTAGGTAAACTAAGCGATAAGGAAAGACACCTAGGTGGATCCTATAGTGTCGTGGCTCAAAGAACAGATAATGGCGACCGTCTGTTGCAGCTATGCTGAGATAACCGCCTGTTCCTTGCAAATACTAACTTTAAGCATAAGGAAAAACATCTTTTAACATGGCGACCCCCTAATTCGTCCCAACGTTGGACCCAAATAGATCACATCGCTATCAGCCACCGATGGAGGGGCTCGATAGAAGACTGTCGCTCATTCTGGAGCACATGCCTAGATTCAGATCATGCTCTAGTGCGAGCGCGTATTTGCTTGCGTCTTACTGGACGTAGGAAAGATCCTGCAAGGAAACCTCTTAGGGGCCTACTTAATGATAGTCAAGCTAAGAATATATTTCAGGAACAACTAGGAAAACAGTTAGGCAGCCATGTATGTGATGCCCACCCCGAGGCAGCATAGAACGATATCCGAAAAGCTGTGGAAACAGCAGTGATATCTGCTAGTAAGGTAAACCGTAAAGTTAGGGAGCAACACTGGATCTCAGCAGCATCTATCGCACTGATAGATGCTCGAAAACTCATTCCACCTGGCTCTGAACATAATGAAGAGCGGAGTCAGCTTAAGCGCAAGCTGACAAGAAGTCTACGCAATGATCGCGAACAGTGGTGGGTAGCGAAAGCAAGAGAGATGGAAAAGGCAGCGGCAATAGGTAATAGCAGACAATTGTTTAGACTCGTTAAGGAAACCGGAATTAGGAACCCGACCGTTAGCGAAACAATCTCAGAGAAAGATGGATATATTATTCATTCTCAATCCAGGAGATTGGATCGATGGGCAGAACACTTTAGGGATCAGTTCAACTGGCCTTCAGCCACACTTCGGTTTCCCACGATCTCCAGTCAACCTGAATGGCAAGTTAATGTAAGTCCTCCGTCCCTTTACGAAGTTGAAAAAGCCACAGGAAATCTGAAGCGAGGGAGAGCAGCAGGCCCTGACAGGTTTACTCCTGAGATTTTTAAGGATGGTGGTTCAGTATTAGCAGTGAGATTAACCGAGGTCTTAGGTAGAATTTGGGAACTGGACGTAATCCCATCTGACTGGTCTCAATCACTGATTGTGCCAGTTTTTAAGAAAGGACAAAAGTCCTCTTGTGACAATCACAGAGGAATCAGTTTGACTAATATAGTGTCTAAAATATTAGCCTCAATAATACTTCGACGCCTAACTAAAGCTCCTGAAGAGCAGACTAGAGAAAACCAGGCTGGTTTTCGACCTGGACGTGGTTGTATAGATCAGATATTCACACTACGTCAGGTTCTAGAACAGAGACACACATTCAGACGCCCCACAATGGTAGTATTTCTCGACCTTAAGGCGGCATTCGACTCCGTTGATCGTGAGGTTCTATGGCAGTGTTTGTCACTGAAAGGAGTACCAAAGAAGTACATTAACCTTATAAAGGCTCTCTACTCGAACACAACTGGTAGAGTGAGAGCTTATGGCGAACTGTCATCAGAATTGATCACCTCAAGTGGTGTTCGTCAGGGCTGTCCACTCTCCCCATTCTTGTTCAACTTTGTCATTGACGTACTTTTAGAGATAACACTCTCCTCATCTAAATTTACAGGGGTTGAACTTCTACCAGGAGGTTCACTTGTTGACTTAGAATATGCAGATGACATAGTTTTATTTGGTGAAGACGCTGACAAAATGCAGAGTCTTATGACCACTCTAAGCAACAATGCAAGAATGTTCGGGATGCGATTCTCTCCCTCGAAATGCAAAATGTTGCTTCAGGACTGGGTTACATCGACACCCGAACTAGTGATAGGGAGTGAAGTAGTTGAGTGTGTCGACCGCTTCACTTATCTTGGAAGTCTGATCAGCCCTTGTGGTCTGGTGTGTGACGAAATCTCAGCACGGATACAGAAGGCTCGACTAGCTTTTGCCAACTTGCGTCATTTATGGCGTAGGCGAGATATCCGTCTATCAACCAAAGGACGTGTTTACTGCGCAGCAGTTCGTTCCGTCCTACTTTATGGCAGTGAAACATGGCCGGTAAGAGTAGAGGATATCCGTAGGTTACTAGTATTCGATCATAGGTGTCTTCGAAACATTGCTCGTATATCATGGGACCATCGAGTAAGTAACACAGTTGTTAGGAAACGGGTACTAGGTAAGGATAGCAAATCAATTGATGAAGTAGTGAAACTTCATCAGTTGAGATGGCTGGGACACGTGTTACGTATGCCCAACGACCGACTGCCTCGACGTGCTATGTTCAGTGGTATAGGAGTAGGTTGGAAGAAAGCTAGGGGCGGCCAAACCAAAACATGGCACAAGTCCATGAAGTCACTGACAAGTTGACTGAGCTATGTCGGTAGGTGTAGACTACCTGGTTGGGGACCGCGAGATGACAGCAACCGATGGTTAGAGACCCTGAATGACATGGCTCAAAATCGTTCGCAATGGCGCAGGTGCATCCACTCTCTGTGTTCTCCCAAATTCTAATCTTCTGAATTCTTCATGTCCCTTTTTCCCTCTTTCCAAATTTCTTTCACTGGATTATACTCTTTAAATAACATCTCCAAACCCTAATCTTCCCGATTACTGCTTATACTCTTGCTACCTCTACCACTACGGGATTTGAATCGACCACTGTATCTCTGTGCTAATGTGGTGTGGCAACTCGAACTGATGTACGTACGTACGAAGTTCTACGCTGTTACTGACTGACTGATTAGTCAAAATTTAAAATGGTCTTTTTGAAATCAACCTCAAATTAACTGGGAGTATTTCAACATTTTGACACCGTACTGTTGTGTTTTCAAACAAAGTAAATGCAGAATACAGACAAACAATGTGTTCCAAACACACAAGAGGATAAAGTTATAGCATCCGCACCAATGGGGTCGATTTTGGATATCATGTTGTCTCTAACTACAGAACATGGTTATTTCGCAGACTCCAGACAAAAACTATGCATGCCTAACACTTATTCTGGATATCTTAATTAATAAAGATTTACAACCTCACCATCCAATTCTTCATACTTACTTAGCACCACTAGGCCTAAAATCTGTGATTCCTCTAAAAAAAGTTTGTTGACAGACTGAGTTGATGACTTTTATGTCTAAATGTATTACTGTATGCTTATAACTCATTCTAACCGAATTGACACACACTGAGGTAACAGTAGACAATTATGCATCTAATGCCATAGTAAAAACAAATCTTATTGAGGACAGTATAAAATCGGAGCATTATAAACATTACGCCAGAAATAATGGACCACTAACCTTTCCTTTTAACTCTAAAGCTGGCTTTGACCGACAATCTGTGTCGATATGGTTTCCGACTTTTACATCTGGAAGCTCGCCTGGTTTCAGAGGGACTATGGTTCCGCACAAGGGACACACAGGAACCTGTTTATCCTTAAGATCGGGACTTTTACAGTTGTGTCTATCGTACAGATAGTGATTCTTGCAGAAAACACCATGACATCCAGAACATCGAACGGGTAAGAAATCTAGAATAGTATAACTTGGGAATTCACACGTACCAAGCATTCGACAAGTTGGCACTGAGCAGTTAGCTCCTAGATTAGGGAACTCCATTAACGAAAACTGGGAGCTTAGTGATAATGAGTTTAATGTATGATAAACAACTCTTACTTCTTTGAATCAAAATGACAATTAGAAATTTGTTAACTCATATATATATATATATAACATTAAAAATAGATGGGTCTAACAGTCGACTTGAGAAGACTGATTATATAATTACCCACTCCTATTGATATTTCATGGAACACAAAAATCAAATCGTCTCTAAAATAAGAAATAATAGATGATCGGAAAGGCAAAATTAATTTAAATTTACACATGTTGCAGACCATCTAGTAGACTCGTTAATCTCTTGCGATATAGTTAGCAAATATTACGAGAAAGACACCTAGAGAATTACTAACTAACTAGTAATCGTTGTCACAAGGTCAAAATATTTACTCAAAGTACTCAGTGTATTAATGTAGTTTTCATCTGCAGTGGCTTTCGAGTGCCTGACATTAAAGTCAGAGGTATCTGACGAAGGTCGCGCGCTATTGAAAAAGAACAGTGGAATTTTTGCTGCGAGTATATTTAATAGTATTAATCGTTAAATTACGCACCAAGACTACTGTTTTTGCTTTAACTGAATTTATTTCAGTTAAAGTAATCCCCAAGAGTACCACTTTTTCTCTAGAGAAGTTTATCATCTGTACTTTATGAGTACAGATACAAAATAACCAAAAGCACTGATATTTATTCTTCATCATTGAGTATAACTTCGAGTATTGTTTGCATTCATAGGTGTTAAGGTCTTTTTGTAACTACAGAAGTCGGTTTTTTCATTGTTGTTAGGTACATTTATTTTTCTTATACATAAACATAAAACAAATTTATGGCGCAATTGAAACATCGTTGTAGCAGACCGGTATGCTATTTCCCTGTCGACGATGGGACGCGATGTGATAACTCTAATAAGTGGTATCCAAATGTGTACACCGGACTCACACCGAATGAATATACGGTGCTGCAAGCCATTGTCACCTTGGTTGTGCAAAGAATGTTGCTCTACAAAGTCTGCTGATTCTACAGGTGATTGAGCTGCTAAATATAGCTAGAAAATTGCCCTCAGATAAACAAGAAGTAGATGAACAGAATTCCGCTTTCGAGGAAATTGAAAGCGTTATCATGAGCCCAGCTCTAGATCTAAATGAGACCATAAAGGTGGACTCAATCAGAGAAGTATATAAGCATATGAATGTAGGCCTCTTCACAAGAAAAAAGAAAAAGCGAGCTAAGAAGAAACTACCTATAGACAGTACTGAGGCATGTGAATCTACGGTTTCAGTTCGGGATTCACATATCAATGCAATACAAACTAATAGGGAGCCAAATCTGAGAGGTGTAGAGGATGTGATCAAGAGACAAAATAAGGTAGACTAGTGACTCAGTCACCCTTAGGGAAAGAAAAGTAAGAAAACAGAATGTAACCTCTGCGTTTGACGCTGAATTGGATTCGGATTGCAGGGAAGAGACGATTTCAGGAACAAAAATTCCACAGCGTGTTAAAACGGACTTCGCTGAGAGGTCAGTCATTTTTCATAAGTTAAGAGTCTTCCGATAAAGAACCAATAGCCAGATTTGAGCACTACCTCAGTCATATTAAGTCTTTGATAAACAAGCTACTCGCAGGAACAGTTTCAGGAGTTAGCATCTGTAAGCTTTATAGATGTTAGCGGGACATAGACTAGATTAAAACATGCTCAATGCACGATTGCTTTGGTGCACGCTGATTGGCTAATTCTCATCCAATCAGCATTAGTCGATGGTTAGAGAATACTCTAGAATCTTCTCATGTAAAAACTACAAATATACTAACGTTTTCTCTATTGTGCTTCTTACTCCCATCTAACCTTGTTATTTGGAATATAATATTTTTCCTATTCAATCGTGTTCTGATTTGGGGACTTGTCGAGTGATTTGGTGTCCAAGAATACTAAGCAATAGGAATAGCTGGGTTATAACCGTAAGAGAGGTTATAACAATAGAATAGGACAAAAGGTGGATTCTTAAAGTACTCATAAAGCCCGCATCTTGAAGGTTACCTTTGCTACGGTTGAAGAAAGAGACCTGATACTAGGAAACTCATGCAAACTGATTGGATTCAGAATATACGTCCGTGAGGATTTCAGCCAGGCTGATCGTATTAAGAGACGAGCTACAGAAGTAGAAATAAATGAGAGCTGCCGAAACGGTGGAAGAAACATGGTTCTTAAGGATTTTCAAACTGTAAAAGTTCGGATAAAAACGATCCCCAAACCACTCTGGGTGGTAAGAGAAAGTTCTCCACAGAATTGAGGGTATGCAACACAAATGCTCGCGGTCCACTAAATAAAATTGCGGAGCTCAAAAAAATGGTGGATAAAGAAAAACTAGATGTTATTGCTGTTTCAGAAACATGGTTAACGTCAGAAGTTTTCGATAATGAAATTCAATTGGCTGGTTTTTTATTCAATAGGGTTGATAGATTGAATCATACAGGAGGCGGGGTTATCCTGTACACGAAAAGTACCTTAACCATACGAGCAGTTGGGACATTGGCACATGATTCAGGGACGTGAACTGGTGCGTTGCAAGCTGAAATGTAGGCGGCAAGATATTGAATTAGTTGTAGTATATCGTAGTCCAGAATGTGTAGTAGATGACTTCCTCCTAAGCAAACTTAAGTCCTGGTGTTATAGGGGTAAAAGCGTTATAATAGGCGACTTTAATACATCGTAGATAGATTGGGTAAACTTAGAAGTAGGGTCATAGATAACGTTATTCGATTGCAAACTGATAGAAACCTCAATTGCATTAGCTTTATTACAACACATAAAAGATCCCACGAGATATGAATTAAGAAGCTCTTCTTCTCTTCTGGATTCAGTCTTCACACACGGTGATGACGTTGGTCAAATGACTTTCCTCCCACCACTAGGGAGAAGCGATCATGCAGTCATATTATTCGAATTCATCGCTGAGATTGCCTGTCAAACAGTTGCGCCCGCCAATCCTAACATATGGAAGGCAGATATGGAGGCAATAAACTGTACAACATCGACTAAAAACTGGGAAATTGACTCATCGGCATCAGTAGAAAAGGCACAATAATTTCTGGCGGTTAACCATTTATACACTAGACAGTTCCAAAGAAGAAGCACGGCCACACCTGGATAGGCCGAGATATTAAACGTTTACTAAGACTAAAGAAGAAATGTTGGGATGTAGCTATTAGCTTTAGCACAGCAGTTACGATGGAACGCTACAGGTCGGCAAGAAACACGTGTATAATTAAAATTCTGGAAGCTCAGAGAAAATATGAAATGCATTTGTTACAACCTGCAATTAAGCAGCCTAAGAGAATAGTCTCGTACATAAATTACAGAACAGGGACGCATTATTGGGTTCCCAAGCTAATTAAAGAAGGGAGTGAATCTAAAATGATAGACGAAGATCAGGAAAAGCAGAGGATATGGTTAACTATTTTGTGGTAGTTTTCACTCAGGAACCTCTTTTAGACAAAGAACCAGACCCAAATACAAAACCAGCAAACCGCCTACTCACCGTGGACTTTGATTAAGACGATGAACGACACCTCTAAATACTGAGACATATTACACAATATATCGCAGCCCCACTGACCGTGATATTTAATATGTCACTTGAACAAGGTGTGTTACCTACGGACTGGAAGGATGCGATCGTCACTCCAATACATAAAACAGGGCCAAGACAACTTCCATCGAACTACAGATCTGTAAGTCTTACCAGTGTTGTAGTTGAAATAATGCGAAGAATAGTTAAACAGACCATAATGAAATTTGTGCGAACCAATAACCTGTTAAACAACGACCAAAATGGTTTCAGAGAGGGTTTAACTGATCTAAAGAGTGTCTGATGCCTATCAGTGCGGTAAAGTGGGTCTTCATTCACTTTTTGGATACAAATGTTATTAGGTACAGCATAGGGGGAATGCCTGTACCCGTGGTCCGCTCTCATAAGCATATCGGGGCGACAATGAGTCATGGTCTTAAGACGATAGTCGATTGCAGGGAGGTGGCAGTTAAGGAGTTTAAAACCCTCTGGGATTTTAAACGGAGATTCACTAAGTTAGATACTACCATGTTCACTACAGTGTACGAAACCTTAGTGAGATTTAAGCTTGAGAACTGCATTAGGGCTGCATGCCCTTGTTTAAAATGTGACTCGGATATCCTGACAAAAGTACAGAGAGCAGTTACCCGTGCAACTCCAGAACCCCGGAGTCTACCATACAAAAAGAGGCTTCAGAAGCTAGACCTCTTTACTCTGTCCTATAGCAGACTAAGGGATCTAATTTTGATGTATAGAATACTAACGAACTAACTGTTAACCTTTGAGAGGAAAATTATGTACTTCCGATTCGTTTTAAAATCATGGTAGCACACTAAGATATTTGATCTGCAACCAAATATTAAGTGAGTCGTAGTGTCACATAATTTTGTATCTTTACAATTCATTATGGATACAGTGTCGGATGATTAACTAAGTGATTAGCAGAAACAGGATGTGGTCATCATAATGGCCAAGGCAATTATTTGTACGGATCGGAAACATGTAATTAAGCAGTTCTCAGATTAAGTGACATTTAATAATCGTTGACAAAATACTTTGATAAGTCCGTTTTATAACAAAAGCGTCATAATCAAGTGAGGGGTATTGGAATAACATAATGACTCAGAGAATGGCAGAGATTAGAGCATGTTCCATACCCAAGCAACCAATAAGGAGGAAAGAGTTAATAAAAAGCAAATGTCAATTTTCTGCCCTCATGTATGTTATTCGAGGGAAATGTCGACTTTTTCTCTTACGTCGTGTATTTGGGGGAATTTTGAGGAAACATATGTAACGTACCAGGCCCGAATATGCCGCCTTGTGTAGTTACATTTTCATGAACGTATACAAAATAACGTACTGTTTAATAAAAAATGTAGACTATTATCAATTACACAAGTAAACAAAATGCAGACATATTCGTTTTCTTTAGATGCATATGTACTTACTTTGTAGTTTGTTTAGTTAAATTGTTCCAAAAAGCTTGGTGACCTCACAAATAGCGTAAGTGATGCAACTCAGTGGCGCGCTCTTTGTTTTCTGAGTACTCCCTCCGACTTGACTTGGTATCAATACGAAAAACTTCCGAGTGTCGATCGTTTCTTATATATTTATGCCCCCTGTTTCGCCAACAAACTTTGCCGAAACATTTGTACCTTAATTTTAAGCATTTAGCGTTATCGGTTTATTCGTTAACTTACCCCAAATTACATAATGGCGTTACCAAATCCGTCAGAATGGATTTGAGGAATTTTCTTCAGAAATATGAACGGTGTTATGGGTTTGAAAACTTAGTTTATAATGTCCATTTTTTGCAGCATGTTCCTGACGATGCTCGTGCACATGAACCTACAGATAGTTTTTCAGCTTTCACATTTAATACTTATGTGAAACAAATTAAGAAATCAATGCACAGCGGATTGTTGTCAGGCAAACAGCTCAGCGTTATGCGGAGAAAATGTCTTTCTGTGGTTATTCCGACTAGTAGTACCCCATGACCCGCAACACAAGCAATTTTGCATACCAATACTAAAATAACTTCATTTAAACCGGACAATGTTGTACTAGTACACGGAAAGCCTGGTTTAGTCACTAGTGTAGGGGAGGATGGATTGGTGAAATTTAGCTCATTTACAGACCCATGCAATTATTTCGAGGATCCCTTTCCTTCTAGTCACATAGGAATACTTAAACGTTCAGTAGTTAGTTATGAACACATGCGGGTTTCTGTTAAGAATATCGACTGTAAATGGATTGCCATTAACTGTATCGATTATTTAGTTATTGTTCCATTGTTACATACTTTTATGTAAATGTGTTTTGTTTCAGTTGCGCTAAAATTATGACCACAAACCATTTCCTTACCTCTTATGTAATATTTAACCCGCTAACAGACAATACGTCATTGTAGACGCACCAAGCGAGAAGCAAGTTATGATAGCAGCCAAATAGTAGGTTGTTAGCAAAGAACTTTGCCTCTATCCAACGAAGCTGTTGATATCCACCTACAAAAGTGAACAACTAAATGATAATTGGTCAGTCCTGAAGTGTAACATCATTCACGAATGTGGTGAGTCACAAACATGGGAACGATCATTTACTATAGATGGTCTCCAGTCTGCATAGGATATGTTGGTTTCCTTCCAAAAATCCTTGCCGATGAGGTCAGTATAATAATCTCACAAACATTCTGTAGAGGTGCATTGAAACGTAAAGAAGGGTTTCTTTACAATTCTATTGAAATGGATGTGCTCGAGATGCAGGCTAGAAGTAGCCATCTTCAATATCTCAAACTTCGTTCGCTCGGCAGTGTTGTCTCTTCGATTGCTAAGTAGGCTTGTTTACTTTTAAAATGTCACTTAATTATTTCGACACAATTGGATACGTCGCCATCAACGTTCGAGTCTAGGCGTGTAGATAGTGCGATTGCGGCCGAGTAAGTCACGTCTCTGATTAAGTTTTTGAGATTTGATAGACTGCATACTGTATCGCAGAGCATATTGTTCGGTATTTCTGACGTGAGCAGCGATATGAAGCTGCTACTATCGAGGTCCGGTCAGCGCGAACATTCGATTGCGGACTGTCAAGTCAACAGTTCCCTTTGTCATTTAAAGAGGAACTGGAGATGTTAGACGCTTGTTTGCAGCAGGAAATAAGTCGACGACACTAATTTGATTAATCGTTCATACTACAGATGGGCATGTTGACGTGGTTAATGGATGATGATCCTGAAACGTCAATGTATTATATTTTATCGTACATCATGGCACCTGAAGTTGCCAGTAATTTCACGCTACTTGGCACTTCATCAAATCGAAGACGCGTGAAGAAAACAAATAATCCGTGGAATATTTATCATGTTTAACTCAGTTTTCAATAGGCATTTTTT